CTGGAGGTCGCCGGCAGTAAAGTACAACTATCCAGAACGGCCAAGTGGAGCTTTCAACTAACAGATACTCTTCTTTATGCTACTTAACGTTGCTAACATTCAACCATGTTCTGTAAATCGTACAGAACATACTCATTGATCCCGAGTTTCTGGTGTGCGCTATTAATTTTAAAATAAACACATTAGAGCTAAAGACCGCAGCAGTTGCCATCCCAAAAATCAGTTGTTTAGCTTATGTAAATCCCGAGATTTCCCAAGTTCTTAAACTCCAACGTTGAATGACCCAGTGAATATCCGGTCCTCACATATTTATCTTTATCTACAGACTTAGCTCGCTGCATTCTCTTCTGACTCATTGCATTGATTAATTTTTCTCGCGCCGCTGCTTTTGGATAATTGGGTGAAGGGCGGGTTAAAACTACTCACTTGGAAAACTTTATGATTTATAAGAAGGCCTGGTGGTTTATATAGAAAAATCGACTCTCTATTGACTCTCTCTTTTGGTCACTCCATCTCTCCCTCCTACTCCCTTCTCTCTTCTTTCTCAGCGGCGGTTGCTGAGAAAAGTGCACGTAGCAAGAGTCCGAAAAAAAATGAGTAAGGCCAAAAGAAGGAGTCAAAACGAAATGCAATCGGAGAGAAATAAAAGCGAGAGAATGCAAAGATGATCGGTAAACAAACAACAAAAATTTGAATTTTATATGCGATCAAAAAAAAACGAGTCACGCGGCTTCACAACCAGTATTGCCAATTCTGGCTAAAAATTTTTAACAACTAAAAAGATGATTGGAATATTTTGGAATAAAAAATAACTTGCGATTTGAAATCGCAAAAATGCGATTTTGAAAGACAATTTTTAAGAACTTCCCAGAAACTATTTATAATGTATAGCTTTAAATATGCAAAAGGGTTAAAGAGGGGGTGGTCATTCAAGAGCGCTGAGCGTAACAAGTGTCAATTTGATCAGGTGGCAACACTGGAGAATTTGAAAGCAACTTTTTCCCCATTACGTAATGATCTTTCTTCCCCTCTCTTTCGTTCGCTCTTTGTCCATCTCTTTTGCTCTCTACGCGCTTAACTAGTCATGCATAGCAAACACACGAACAACAACTCGTTTTGGTTAATTAACATAAAAAACGGTACAAAAACAACAAAACGCCGCACACTTGTTGCACCCAAAAAAAAGTGGAGGAAAATAAATAAATGAACGAAAAATTAAAAACCGACGCCTGAGCAAACAGAAGAGAGCATTTCCAGAGAGCGGGAGAATTGGTGAAAGAGACGGGCAGATTGTGGAAGAAAGAGAGGGGAGATCCTTTCCTTTTATCGCAAAATTTCAAGTTCGCAGACAGCTAAAAAAAAACAACTGCAACCGAATTGCAAAAATAAGCAATTGCCTTCAAAAACAGTAAGTACCCGAGAAGTGGAAAAATAATACGAAACTTGGAATTTTCAATATAACTCAACATTACCATATTTCTAATTAACAGGAATTCAATTATACATAAATCATGAACTCAACAATGACACGGATCCTCAGACACGGATCCTTCCTTAAATTGTCTATAGCACTCGACGATCGCTGTACCGCGATGGCAATTCGGTGTGCGCCCTTCTGTTTTTTTTTCTTTGAATAAATAGGTACAAACAGACGCAACCATGACGTCAGGCGCTTTCGGTTTCTCGCGCGCATTTCGCCTTTTGTGTTCGTTGCAAATTTTGTGTATTCAATGTCAAAATCCATAGCCCGAAACACGGCCAAAAGCCATTCCCAATCCCCAAAAACAAAAACATGACAAAAAAAAAAAAAAAAAAACAAGCTCCAGCCAGACAATTGTGGGTGCCATTTGGGGATGGAAAAGTCAGTCAACTATGTCACGTGGATCTCGAAATGTGTGTAGATTCGTGAAATGCATTAGTTAGCTTTTGCTGAATCGGGTTCAAAATTTGTGCCGTATCGGTTATGAATCGGTTCTACACCGATTGAGCACTTAAGTGAGTTACTAACACTTTAAACTCGAACATTCTATGCAACCCAGTTGAGGTAATTATTTGAAGCAAATCGTTAGTCATGCTCCCAACTGGATGATTCACTCATTGATTCATTTGTTGATCACCAAGATCCTCACGCTACCATCTTTAGATTCAAAGTTTGGGTGCTTTTTACCTGGCTGGGCGAATCGAGAAAGGAGGTTGGCAAAGGAGGAGAAGTTACTAACCAAAATGGCAACACAGGCGGTCTGAAAACCGGTTTTACTTTCGTGTTCAACGATTTTTCTCTTATTTCACTTTGTGAGCGCATCAAAAAATAAGCTAACAAAAAAAAAAAAAACATCCAGTCAAATTCAAATGTGCTAATTGAGCTAATGGAGAAAAAGTTGACCATTTTCCAAACTATAAATCAAATAATGAATGGTCGCGCAGCAAATTCGAGTGCCAGAAAGAGAGGAGTGTAAACAAAAAATAAGGCGGACAGCATCCGCTGCCAATGGCTGTGTGTGTGGGTGCGAGCGAGACAGTCGTTAGCCTAGTTACGCCAGCGGGATTAATGGGTATCAGGGGTATATCGCCAACCCATTGGTTAATCATTTACCGATGGAAAAATACGATTTAATCTTGATAATATGAACAACTTTTTTCACTGCTATTGGATTATTGCACCTCTCCAGGGTATTCGATAATCGCATTAGCTTAGGCATGCAAATTCGTATGGCTGCTTATTGGACTCGATCGATTTCCAGCAACTTGTTTCGGCATACTGAACAGCCTTCATTTGAAAAATGAAGAAGCTGACAACTTTGTCGCTTTCTCAGTGCCACACAAAACCGTTACAAATTGCCCGTGGTATTTGAGAGGAAGAGGGAGACGCCGATAAAGAGGGGCGGGGAAAGATATGTGATCAATATACGACCATTTATTAAGAGATCACACTTTTCATTTTAATTTTTACGCATGTATTTTCATGAATGATTTGAAAATGTCTATTTCTTTGCAGCTTTTCAATGTACATATTTTCAATGTGCAAGTGATCTTCAGTCTGCCATCTTGCTTGTGGTGGAGTCTGTTTACATACATACATTTATATGTATATGTGTTGAGGCCCTGACAATGCGCATACATGACAAATCACAAAAGAAAGCAGACATCGGAATCGAACAGGCATAAAAGCAGCCTGAAAGTGTCCCGGTTCAATAATAATAAATAATCAAACATGATAAAAAGGGGGCAGTGGCAGAGCAGGAAATTCTAACAGCTCTTCGAACCCGTATTAAGAACGGGCCATCAAACTACTTCGATAGCGATGAGCTTTGGATTTCGAGTTAGTCATGATATCAGGGTAGTGATGAGTTCATAAAAGGTGACTACGCACAGAAGTTACCTGGGAATCTATAAAACTCAAATGATAACTCTAATGATAACGAACAAGAAGTCATTAATATAAATAATATTAAACTATCATAATTGCCTTTTCAAAATACAACCAAAATTTAGAATAAATGTTTTTTTTTTGTTTGTGCAAAATATGCTAGCTATTTTCTGGCTACTTTAGTAGTCATCTCCGATCGCCAGTTAATCTGGTTGGATGGAAAAGCGCCTTACGCAGTTCCAACTGGAAGCGCTATATTCTAACTGGAAAATGCGACTTCATGCTAATGGGATAAGTGTGCGAAAGGGATGGAGCGAAGGAGAGGAGACAAGGGCGAGACAAAGGTGAAAAACTTTGGGAAAAACGGTGGTTGGAGTGGCGGCTGCAATTTTCACACGCTTTAAACACACACACACACACGAATTTTGACTTTGAGCAGCTGCCCAAAATATTAAAAATTCACTCCCAAAATTCTAGCGCTTTCTCGCTCTAACCCTATTGACTATTTAACCGACTTTCAGAGGCTTTCTGTGAGTGCGAGAGGGAGGCAAGATAATTGAATTTACTATGTATTGTTGCATTGCCATTTAATTTGAAAAGTGGCTATTTATTTTAGCTGTTTTTTAATGCCGGTTAATGACTCACACTCCAATCACTCCTCCCCTCTCTTTCGCACACACACTGCCACATACCGGTATTTCAGCGTTTGCTTTACACTCTTTCTTCGCTTGTTTCACAATTCTTTCTCATTATTTAGAGTAAAAATGACGAAAAAATGAAGACAGTTAAAGTATGCAAAACTCACACACACATACAAATGCAGAGCACTAGTTGTTTTTGCTTGCCGGCAAAGAGAAAACTTGTGTTTTTATTATTCAGCCGTTTTCATATGTTTTCCTTTTAGTATTATTTTTGCACACACGTTAAAAAAATTGAGTTCTCGTCGTTAAGCAAATCGTAACACGAATAAAAAAAGAGCGGACAATAAAAACCGTTTTTTTTTCCAACGCTCAACTTTTGCCGGTGTGTGAAAGTATGCGTGTGTGTGTGAAAGAGAGCCGCGTGCCTGGGTGTGTGTGTGCGCTTGTTGCGCTTTTATTTTGTGTCCTGAAATTTCGTAGTTTTATTTTGATTTTCACTTACATTTCGTTTCTTCTCCAATTGCCGCGTGTTTTTCGGAGTCTTTCTTTGTTTTCCTGTTGCTTCGCAAACGAAAGGAAAAATCAAATAAACGCAAAAAAAAGAGCCAAAACGAAAAACAAAAGGAGATGGAACCTAAGTCGATACTATCGCGGGGAAGGCTGCCGCAGTGCATATCGTCGATCTGGTAATGCCGTGTAATTCGCATAGCTTAGCGTTGCCACTGTGCGCACCATTTTAAAAGTTCATTCCTAAAATTAGTTTTCTATTAATTCTTTCTTTTAATTTTTAAATAACTTTCATATTTATATTCGTAAATATTTGCATGCACAGTAACAGAAATGTTCTCTCAAATAAATAAAAGAAACATAAAATAAAACCAACAATAGAATTAAGTGAAAACTCCAAAGACAACTGGTTAAATTTAAATGTAATTGCTTAAATCTAGTCTACTTCTCTGCCACCTCCTATTTGACCCACAAAGACGACCAACTAAATTTAGAAAAGAAACAATTTATTCAGCCTAATCCAATAGTAAACAGAAAATAAAGACGTCGGCATTTCATGCACGCTAATTTTGTACTCGCTCGGAGGTCAATCGAAAAAAACAAACCATGAGTTCTAGTCTTTTTTACGTTTCGATCAGGAAACTAATTACCTATCCTTGGATTTCTAATCAAGAGAGAAAAACTTGGACAGGAATTCGAAATTTCAAAGATTACCCTTCCAATTTTCACAAATCCAAAGCCCTGCATTTTCTACATAACTTATTAAAAATTTAAATGGGACACGTTACTTTCAGCACTACAGATCCGTTGATTAAAATCTTAGGCTTGCACATCTTAATGGTGGAGTCGTAGATATAAAAAGGAAATTACAGATGGCGGGATCATAGTTACTTGAGGATAACTACTGGGTTCAGGCAATAAGATCTCCACTTGGATTTGTACTCGCAAAGATAATAGATCCGATGATTAAGCCTGGGTAAGGAAGTGGCGATTGCTCGGGGGTTTCATTAGCTGAGGAGGACGGTGATGGAGCTGCGAAAGCTTAACGAATCTTAGGAGTACGCATCTTAATTGTTATTCTCGAGGGCCGCCATCCGCTCGCGCTCCTTGAGCAGCCGCTCCCGGCTGTCCTGCGGATTCAGCAGCACCTTGACCAGGTGCTCCACCGTCGGCCGCTCGGCGGTGCAGTAGACTTTCAGGCCCTGCGATTCGAGGGCACGCCTGGTGCTCGGCCCGATGGCCACCAGTTTCCATTTGTCCATCGACAACTGGCGGCTGGTGAAGTACTGCTGCGCACAATTGACGCCCGATGGCGAGAAGAAGGCAAGGAATTCGATTGACTCGCCGTAGATCTCCAGCGCCCGCTCCACATTTGCGCCCAATTCGGGATGGCAGCGCGTCTCGTACACCTCGCAGGCATCCACTGAGAAGCCATTCTCGGCCAGCTTGGACAGCAGCGTATCGGTGGCCAGATTGCCGCACGGCAGGAGCAGCGGCAGTGCACGAGATCCATCGAAGGTGTCCACTATATATTCGCCCAATGCCCGGGCATTGCCCGTCTGTTTGCCGTGGGTGAATAGCTGGTCCAAGGTGCTCAGCGCCAGATTGTGGGTCACCTCGCCGACGGCATAGTTATGCAACATCTTCCAACCGCCGGGCAGCTCGCCCAGATTCAGGGATTCAGCCACAGCCTCCACGCAGCGCGGCGATGTGAAAATGATGCCGGCATATTTGTCCGGATTCTGGAGCTTGGCGCGCAGCTCCTCCAGGTTCTTGAAGCCGAAACTCAGCGTGGGCACGAACACCGGATTGAAATCGTGCTTCTCCAGCGTTTCTGCGTACACATCGCTGCTTTCCGACTCCGATTTGAATATAATCACAGTTCGCTGGCGACTCGTCATCTCGCTGCTGGTCACTTTCTCACTTTGCTCTGTCACTCTGGGCTGAATTTTCCGCCTGTCGATTTTCCGCCAGCGCCTTCTTTTTTGAAAATACAAAAATAAATAAATAAGTGGCGATTTTAGTGCACCTGCAGCCTCGTGCTATCTCCTTCTAATCAGCTGTTTTGCCGGCTGTCCGCAGGGCTGCCAGATCGTTGCACTAGCGACATTACTGTGCTGCGAATATTTTAAATAGAACTACATTTTGTTGAACATCTAATTACTGTAAAACAAGCCTAGAAACAATATTTGCACGTACATTCTTACACGCAGAAATATAAATGATTCATAAGTACGTCATCAACTTGTTCAAAGTTATTTTCTCAGATTTGTTATCAGATATTTTTCCGATGAGTCATGAATTTTTACGAATTTCCGGCAAAATACATTTTGTAAGTTCTTTGAATCGCAAAAAAAAAAAAATCGAAAAAGCAAATTACTTTCAGTGCGATTTCAAAGCTTCCTCCAGTTGATATTGTTTTTCAAAATGCTAAAGTTAAATTTTCTTGTGATATTAATTGTCCTAGTTTTGCAAGGATCCTTGGGAAAGCCACTGGATAACGAAATGTGTCTTTCCAATCAGCTTTCGATGATTGATTTAATAAGTGAAATCAATTCCAAATTGGATAGGATTTTGGCCATTCCACACATAGAAAGGGATTTATCCAGTCAACAAATTAAGCTACGCAGCAACATAAAAGCCGAACTGAAAGGCATTCGGAATAAAGTGAAAATCCAATTTCAAATTCCCACCGCCACCACAGTGAAGCCACGGAATTTTGAGCTGATTGGAAAACGATCATTTTATATAGAATTTACTACGAAGAAATCTTGGGCTGATGCGGCAGCTGCATGTCGCGAAATCGGCGGTTTCTTGGCGGCTTTTGAAAATCAAGAGGAACTTAAAGCCATTCAGGGGAGATTAAACTGGTGGTGGTACTGGACGGGCATAAATGATTTGAACACGGAGGAATACGTATCCCTGGCTTCTGGAAAACCATCGGCGGTATATAAAAGGAAGAATGAAACCAACCACATCAAATCCTGCGTTTCGATAACACCAGAATTTGTGCACGAATTTGATTGTAACAGCAAATTTAATTTTATTTGCCAAAGGAATGAAGACACGTAAATAGCATTTACTCCGCCCCCATCTACTGCTAATAAAGAACTTGTAATAATTGTTTTTTCCTAAAAATAAAGTGTGCATTTGAATATAATGAATATAATATAGTAAATATTAAATTATACAAATTTCTGTTCGATTTTTTTTGCCATCTGGCCACTCTGGCTATAGGAACTGTCATCAAAACGGTCATCGGTGCTATCGATATTGCGCACCGGCGGCACGCAACTATCGATAGCGCAATATTGTGAGTTGAGTTGCACGTGTTCCAAATAAAATAGTTCGTTTTATTTGATTGGAGCCATTTATTTAATAACAAAACGGCGCCATGCAGCACGACGATGTGAGTAGCAAGTGGATAAATCGAGGGAGTTAGAGGGCTAATCAGAATTATCAATTTACCAGGTGGTTTGGAGCATCATCAACAAGTCCTTTTGCTCGCACAAAGTGAAGTGAGTTAAATGTGAGCTTATGTCTAAAAATATGTATATTTAATGCAATCTAAACCACGCAGAACCGACACACGCACCTTCTGCCGCCATGAGTACAATCTCACGGGTCTGTGCACCCGGAGAACCTGTCCCCTGGCCAATTCGCAATATGCCACCGTTCGCGAGGAGAAGGGCATCATCTATTTGTTCATCAAAACGGCGGAGAGATCGCACATGCCAAGCAAATTGTGGGAAAGGATCAAGCTGTCCAGAAACTTCGAGAAGGCCATCGAGCAGATCAACGAGAATCTGGTGTTCTGGCCCAAGTACATGATCGCCAAGAATAAGCAACGTTTCCTCAAGATCACCCAGTATCTGATGCGAATGCGCCGGCTAAAGTTGCGTCGTCAGAAGCTCATTGTGCCGCTGTCCACGAAGATCGAGCGGCGGGAGGCGAGGCGCGAGGAGAAGGCCTTGGTGGCCGCCAAAATCGACAATCACATCGAGAAGGCGCTGATGGATCGTCTAAAGCATGGCACCTATCGCGACATCTACAACTTCTCGCAAACCGCATTCAACAAGGCTCTGGAGGCGGAACGCGTGGACGAGGATGAGGAGGACCTCGACGACGAGGACGAGGACGAGCAGCTGGAGCGCGAAATGGAGGTGGACGCCGACGATTCCCGCGAAGCTATCGAAGTCCAGAAATCCCTGCTCGACGAGGAGTTCGTGGAGGCCGATACGGACGATGAGGAGGAGGAGGGAGATGATGACGAGGACGATGACGATGACTACGATAGCGATTCCGGCAAGCGGGAAGAGGTCGAAGTGGGCAGCGATTTCGAGGAGTCCGACGAGGATGACGATCCGGATGCTGATGATATTGAGGTAGTGTTTCTGCTCGTGCAACACCGTTTTTTGGCAGTTTTCTGGAGCATTAAATGTATAAATCGTTACAAAAGAGATTTTGACCATTTTGAGCTAGTCTCTCCGATGATTTACATTATTTGTATAATATTATATTCATTTTTGACAAACAGAAGGTTCTGAGAGCACGCAAATATTTGCAGTTTAAAGCACACGTTATTCTGAAATCCTGCCAGCGAATAGCACCTTCCGAAATTACCATAATTAGAAATAGCAAACGAGTTCTGCCCGCTTAGAGCTTAGAATACAGAGTTGCTGTTGAAGCTTTCGAGCGATCGCCGCTTTTCATTCAGTTGCGGTGGTTCCCATTCAGTGCGCGCAATGTTACAGCTCCAGAAAATTGCCAAAAAAAAGAAATAAATAAAAGAATCCCAAAATTGCAAAACAAACTAAACAAACAATTGAATCGCAAACAGGACACCAAAGTGCCAGCCAAGAAAACCGCCAGCAAATCGAAGAAGGACAAGAAATCGCCGGCCACCAGTCGACGCAGCCGCTCGAAGCCCAAACTGGAGCTGGAGTACGAGTATGAGGTGGAGAAGGAGGCACAGCGGCAGATGCGCCATTAGCCAGGTCCACAATATATTCCCATGCACCCCCACTTAGCTGTTAACGCTTATTGTTTAGCCAACTACATTTGTAACGCCGGTTAAGAATAGTATTTTATATAAAAAATGAAAACTGACAAAAACAAACACCCATCTGGCCAAAAGCGGGCCATTCTGACATTGAAAGTGCGTGAGATGGGCGTCCAGACACACGCGGGGTTAAGCGGCGGCAGTGCAGTATGAAACCAGTTTGAAAAATATTCTATAAAAACTATACACCGTTTTTCACACAGCTGTCGTTATTGCATACCCTGTAAAAGGTGCGGAGTTGCGGGGGAAACGATCTTATTTAAATAGCAGAAATTGGTAGGGATAGGATAATACCTTTTTTTTTGTATTGTAACACATTTCTCTCAATCTATTTAAGCAAACATTGTTTTTTGGGGTTCTAGTTCCTGAACTTCTGTAATAAACTGTACAGCTGCTGTTCTGTAGTCAGAAAAATATGTTTTTAGTAATCCAAACAAGTGGGGAATATATTTGTGCGAACAGTGTGTGATAATGGGGGGAACTATAATCACTATGTTTATTGCCAATTAAAACCTTCTGTGCAACTTCAATAGTAAGCAGCATCCATAAGGTCGGTATGCCGCTGGAAGCAACTATATGTGTACATATGTATTTAACAAAATGCTGTGGCGGAGCTAATTAAATATCGCACGCCAAGTTCAATTCAGCGCAGCCAAGCGATGAAGTTCGTTATCCGATCGTATGGGTTCCTCCTGGCAACCCAAGGTCATTCCGCATCTGCGGCCAAAGGTTCTGTTTTACTTAAAAAGGTCGTAAAAACGCCGCGCAGCCATGGGTGTGAATAATCGGCTTTACTACTGCTGGACGGTTGGGGGGAGGGATATTGGAAACCATTCAGCTGCTTTGTTTAGCTTCGTTGCGATTGAGTGGCAGTTTGCAAATTGCATTCAAGCATCAGAGCATTTTACACTCCATAGATGGAGTGGAGAAACAGTAGTAATGGTTTTACAGACTGGGGGATCTCTCGATATAAATGTATACGTTCAGCATCCTGATGTTTGTTAATTTATTATTCGCAACACTGCAGACTTAAACTAGCACGGCTAACATGCAAAAATACACTTGCCATAGTGTTTACAACAAACAGTACGCTATCGATAAGAACACCTTAACCTGTGGCTGCCGTACAAAACAATGAACAGGGTCCAAAGCACACCCAAGAACACACAGTTGTCAGTTGGGTGTATATACAGTATATATTAGTACGTTTAAAGTAAGTTTTCCATTTCTAAGTTAAACAGTTTATCGTTCTCTTTGTGTTTTGCATTGTGTTATGCTGCAAAAAGTGGTTGTCAGTTGTCATTTGGCGATCTAGTCGAGAACAGCGTTTCCCCCAAATCGATGCTCCTCCACCAACGAGTGTTTCCTGTGTGTGTGGTCATTAATGCTGTTGTTGCTGCACTCGTTGGTGCACATGGATGCCCCACCTTAGCGTGATCGTGTTATTTGGTATCTTCTCGTGCTGTTCCTAGGCATTGGAACTGAAGGCCGCCTGGCGCAGCAGCACATAGATCTTTTCCTTGATCCAGTCCTTGTTGTAGGGCGCATAGGTGTTGGTGCTCTTCTGGTACACCATGCAGCTGATGTCCATCAGCGTGTCGATGAAGTCGAACAGCTGGCTGATGTCGTACGTGATGGTCGGCGTATTCGGATTGCGGCGCTTCAGGTGCTCCTCGTAGATCTTGCACACACCCTCCATGCACTCGTTCACGCTCTCGTAGTCGCAATAGGTACGGGTCTCCGGACGAGCACCCGGCTGAACCAACAAGATAGTATGCGACATGGTGATCTGCAAGGCAAGGAAGGCACATTGATGATATTGCTCTCTATATAAAGTGCATATAAACTGATAGCCCGTATTGCGTAGGAGCTACACGTATTCATTACATTTGATGAGCATCAATTTGAATGAGAGAGAGGTCTTCAGGGCTAAACCTGAATGTTTTTACTAATAGGCTTACTAATTTGCAGAACTACAAATTCTAATTAATTTGCACTTACATCCTTTTTCTTGAGAAGCAAAGTCCTATAGATTCCGAGACTCCAAGTTTATGTTTATTTCGCCAGTTCTGCAAAATCGCATAAATATTTATTAGATTCATAGAAGAATTGAAAAAAATCAAAAAAGAAAGAGAAGGAGTACACGCTCCATGCAACGCAACGCCCCATCTCGCTTGCACTCGCATACATGTCCGTACGTGGGCCAATTGCCCTTTTATTTTCCAATTTGCAGCTGCCAAATGGACTAAGACGGCACTTCCAGCATGAAAATTGTGTAATTTGAGTGGTTAGCGATGTTTGCGGCGGGGAGTGCGTTTATCTACAAGATTGTGCACTTGTTTCTGCCGCTTCAGTTAAACACAAACATTCGGAAGCGCGCACACACACACACACACACATGCACAAGCAGAAGCGGCCGCCGCGTGTGTGTAACTAACTGTATGCGCTCACTTGTTTTCCTTCCTTTTACCAGATTTTTCTCGAATTTTAGGTAATTCTAATGTCTTTCCTTTAGTGTTTCACTTACCCGATCGAATGGGGGACTATATGGACTATGATATTATGCTGATTCGAGGCTGCGATTCGGTAAAATCGGCGCTTGCTTCGTTCTTTTTTATTTTTGCCAGTTTTATCGGTTTTGAAGAGAGGAGTGTGCCTAGAGATGAGCGCTTCCCTGCGTGACTCTTCGTGACAAAATAGTCGAAAGATATCGATAAGTGTTAATATCAAACACCTTATTTGTGATTTTTAAATTACAAATAGAACTGCTTGAAACCGTTAGCGAAATATTATTTATTAAATAATGTCCTTTATTAAATGTCATATGTCACCCATTTAATTCATTATACAATATACAATATTATCGCCCATTTCCATAGTCCACAACTAGTATTCTCAAATTATACGGCCTATTATAATTAAAGTCTATATTTAAATGCATTTTTGAATTTTTAAAGCGTACGGTATTTAATATTAGGTGGAAAGTTATTTTAAATAAACTAAAACTATCGCCCATCGCAATAATATCGCTCTCGCAGCCTTGCCACTTTTCCCACTGCCCAGTGTTGCCAGACAGCGGAAATCGGCGATCGGAGTGGCCACCAGCTGTTTGATCTCAATTGAACCAATTGGAAGAGCGCGGCGTCGCGAGCAGCGCAGTCGTGCGGCGGCAGAGCGATCGGCAAAGAAATCAACAACAAAAAGCTAAATCTCGTCTCAAATTTATTTACGTGTTTTTTGTTTTAGTGAAAAGTGAAGGCGCAGCCGCAGCAGCCCGTATTTCGCGCGTTCCCATTAATTTGTTGTTGTTTTCAATTGTGCAAGTGGCGTTCGTGTCTCTTTTTTTTTCGGTGTTTGTGTGTGTCCTAATTGAAAGAAAATGAAGTGAAAAGAAGCAAATAAATTGGGAAATCGCAGCGTAAACAAATCAAATAATGAATGAAGTAAAGGAGTAGCGAAGCTAAATTACACCAAGCGCTAAAATTAAAGTAAAGCCCAGCGAAAAGGTGAAAAGGGAAAACGGGAAAACCTGTAAATGTAGCACTACCGAGAAGGTAGTGAAATAAGAAAACCCAAAATCCAACCAACGCGACGCACGCGTGTCCAATTTATCGTTTCTGCTTCCTCTTCTTTGTTCTGCGCACACTGATGCACGATCATTCATGTGTTTGTGTGTTGTAGTTGTGTTTATTGTGCATTTTATTTGATTTGTTGCTCATCTGTTATCTCTGAAATTTCAAAATCTCAATGTTCTCGGCGACCAATGGCAAAATCAAGGTAAAAAACGTGCGTTTTTTTTTTAGTTTTCTACAGTGTATCCTTAAGTCCAATAGTATTCATAGTTTGCCTGAAACGCAATTGCAATTGAACATGATCTTAAGTTGAATATTCTATTCTGTTTGCTTATGTTAGTTTTTATTATCATTCTTTTTATATTATATACTTGTGTTCGACTTTAAATATTATGCGATAATTATCAAAATCTTATCTAATGTTTGCTTGAGATTTGTGGCGGTGTATTTGATTTGATACGCAGCTATTACCAAACATATCTACACATTAAATTAGTAAATATTTCAACTGGGCTCACAAAACTACGTTAAAATACAACAAACGCTATGCATAAATGTATATTTACATACATATTTAAAGTTTTTACAGTTTAATACAGCAGTTGTTAAATATTTACAGTTTTATGCAGTTAAATAATACAAATGTTATACATTTTTGATTACATATTTGCAGTTACCCCCGGAGGATGCTGTGCTGGTGACGTCACCGCTGCGCTGCCTCTTCAACGGCCCCTTTCGCGATCTGCACTTCAACGTCACCGATCACCGCATCATTCCCGTGCACGATGTCGTTTTTCTCGACGACTTCGAACGCAACGTGAAGCCTTTGATCTACCGCCCCGTGACGTCAGAGGTCGCTGCCTCTGCCTCTGTCAAAGTCGACGTTGAAGAGGCAGCGTCGGCAGAGGAGGAGCAGCGCAGCTTCATTCCAGTCAGCAGGTGAGTCACATCCAACGTGTGCGACAGAGATGGCAATCAATCGATCGTGGCCTTGAACTTGATTCCATTTTGTTAGCCCCCAATTCCCAATTGGAAGTGAGACAGAGTGGGAGCAAGCCAATTAGAATTTGTAAATGGAGATTTCAAGCTTTTGTAAATGGTGAAATCGATTTCATTTCAGTTATTTGCATTTAATATCAGTTAGCAGTATAATTTTAATTTTAATTTAAAAGTAAATATTGAATTCAGTTAAAAATAATTGCTATGGTTAACAATTAATCACAATTAAAAAGTCACCATTGTCTAGCATCCGCAATAAATTGTCTTGTTTAACGCTCGTTTTTGAAAAGTGTTTGCCTTACGGCACCGATAAAAAATAACATTCTTAACTGATAAGAACGTGGGCGCCCCTGATGTGTTGAAACATCATCGTTTTTATCGTAAGAGTGTGCAAAAACTGTTTATCTATTATCTTTGAGGGTGCGTAGCTAATTTCCCACCGTCCGTCTGGGTAATATACATATTTTAACAGCTAGATAGTTTCATATTTAAAGACACTTAAACAACTTGGTGTGAGTTAATAGAATACCCCAAAAAAATGGTATTTTACAATTCCATTTGTTAAATTAGTTTACCTCGCTGAGCTTGTAATTAAATTTCCAATTGAACTGTATTAATAGGAATTCTAATGTTTTTTTTTTTGCAAGTTTAGATGAAAATATTTTCATTTTTGCCAAAATCCGTTTTTTCGAATTTTGATCATAAAATAATCAGTTTTTTGGTCACAACTTTAAAAATAATTGTCTGAATATGGAATGGTATACCTCATCGCTCTCGTAATTAAATTTCCAATCGAACTGGGTTAAAAAATGCGAACTCGATTTTTTTGCCATTTTTTGCAAATTTTAATGATGTTACCCCTTACAAAAAATGCGAAAATTGACCAAAAATTGAACTTCCCAAAATCGGTCAAAAAGTGATGGGGGTGTTTAGATTTGGTAATTAGCTGCTCAAAACAGTTTATCTTTCATCTTTATGATCATTTTTGGCCAAGTTATGATTAAAATGCCCATTAGAAATATTTCAATTTTTGCCAAAATCCGTTTTTTTCGAATTTCGGTTATAAAATAATCAGTTTTTTTGCCATAACTTTAAAAATAATTGTCTGAATATGGAATGTTATACCTCGTTGCGCTCGTAATTAAATTTCCAATCGAACTGTGTTAAAAAATGGCAATGCTAATTTTTTGCCATTTTTCGCAAATTTTGATGATGTTACCCCTTACAAAAAATGCGAAAATTGACCAAAAATTGAACTTCCCAAAATCGGTCAAAAAGTGATAGGGGTGGTTAGATTTGGTAATTAGCTACTCAAAACAGTTATTCTTTCCTATTTATGATAATTTTTGGTCAAGTTATGATTAAAATGCCCATTAGAAATATTTCAATTTTTGCCAAAATCCGTTTTTTCGAATTTCGGTCATAAAATAATCCGTTTTTTGGACACAACTTTAAAAATAACTGTCTGAATTTGAAATGTTATACCTCGTTGCGATCGTAATTAAATTTCCAATCGAACTGTGTTAAAAAATGGCAATGCTAATTTTTTGCCATTTTTCGCAAATTTTAATGATGTTACCCCTTACAAAAAATTCGAAAATTGACCCAAAAATGAACTTCCCAAAATCCGTCAAAAAGTGATAGGGATCATTAGCACTGGTAATTAGCTGCTCAAAACAGTTACTCTTTAATGTTTATGATCATTTTTAGCCAAGTTATGATTAAAATGCCCATCAAAAATATTTGCATTTTTAGCAAAATCGGTTTTTTCGAATTTTGATCATAAAATAATCAGTTTTTTGGTCACAACTTTAAAAATAATTGTCTGAATATGGAATGGTATACCTCGTCGCGCTCGTAATTAAATTCCCAATTGAACTGTGCTTAAAAATGGGAACTCTATTTTTTTGCCATTTTTTGCAATTTTTAATGATGTTATCCCTTACCGCAAAAAGCGGTTATTCTTTTAGCTGTATGACCATTTTTACCGAAGTAATATAGAAAAAACTTATCGTAACGATGGGATTTTAGACAACAATTCGTTTCTATGATATCTTGTGTAAGAAATCATCTTAAAATGTTTGATCCCTTTGAATTACATACATATGTCTACAGAGTAACGGGTATCTGGTAGTCTACAGTTCTAGCTTTGTTGCTAGGTTTTACGAGTGTTTTGTTTGCTCGTGTTTGTGTTTGTCCACATTTGGCGTAATTGTTTCGCATTCCTATTGGCGGTTATTTTTATTGTGCTACCGCTTTTGGCTGAATTCGTGGATTTGTATTTATGCGTTATTTATTCTGCATTAGGAATTTGCCGCCTCGCAAAACGCACGTTGACTTGGTCGTTGCCTTTTGGCCCAGCATAAAAACTTTATAACCAAACTCGCTGGCGGTCATTCAACTGATAAGAATCATTGTACATCAAAGTTGTGGTGCAAGAAAGGTTAAGTAAAATAAGACACTATGGCTTTTTAAAGGTTTCTATTAAGAAGGTTTCTTTAAGCGGCTAGTTTCCGTGTTTTATTGGCTGAGAAACTGTCAGATAAATAGAGTTAACATCCTAATAATTATTTAGGTATATACACTTTTATAGGCCTTATATATATTATTACGAAAATAACATATTTCTACTGCTCCCTTTAAAGAGCACCACGAATTCGCTGCCATTGAGATTTCTTGATTTTCTTGTTTCTTCCGCGTGCTTTTTGTTTGGTCGCAGATTTTTATTGTGTGCCATTCATTGAAGGTTGTCTGAGTTGACACCTTTTCGGTGCTGCGAGTCTCGTATATATTTCTTATTTCTTATATTTCCTTTTATTTTTTAATTGCCACACTGACCGTCGCCGGCTGCTTTCGTCACAGTTGCCGGCAAAAGTATAGCGCCCTTGGCAATGACCGTCGTCCACATGCTCCGCAAAAAGCAATTTATCACGTTTTTGTTGCTTATTCAAATTTCAAATTATCGTTAGTGCAACGACTTCAATTAAGGCGCACTTAAATAATTGGCAGTTTGACCCCTGGACTGCATTTTTTGTTTGTCAAAGGAGAAGATTTATCGCAAGTCGAAAAAACCGAATTTAAGGCATGTTAATACCCTGCAAGTTGAGCTAATCAGAGATTTTAATTATTCG